GAACTAATGACTGCGCTATCCAGGGAAGTGAGAATGAGCCCTAAGATGACTCTGTATCAGTCTGTCCCAGCTCACAAGTACTTGTTTCATTAAGAACTACCCACAAATATTATTGTTACATCCAAAGAAATTCCCCTAAAAATAAAACTGCAGAAATTTGCAAATAAATACTTGTAACGAGAAAGTTCTCATGGATTTTGCTGGTGTCACATATAGATACCATGTCTCTTTTTGAAAGAATTCTTTCATTTTTGTTTCAGGGAGCACTTTAAAATGTTTTCCTAGTGTTTCCATAAAAAAACAACAAACCATGGACCCTGCAGGGTACAATGTGCATTGTACTTGCTGTCAGAATATTTCTTTCTGAATTCCAGGGAACTGCTCATTAGTATGGCAACTATTTTTTGTTGAATAATTAGTCGAGTTTGTGATAATCAGGCTCAAGCAGTACACAGCTCCTCTTTTTGTAAAAGCCGTATGAAAGGAAAGCTGTTATTGTTATGTTTATTTTTTGTCCACATGGAAATATCAGATATCAAAATAATTCTGCTTTGTCATTAGAAGTCTGACCTGTTGTCAATTCAATATCCACTCCCCCTCCACGAACATTACGCTTTAATAAATCATCTGAAAATCAACTCCCAAAGACAATGAGCTTGTTTTTTGAATACAATCACCCTGATCAGTGTGAGTTTTCTTTGTGTTGGTCGTCCAAAAGTAGGAATTGCTCATATCCGTCTTTACCAGACCCGGTTCTGCCCAGTTACGTGAGTTGAGCATAAGCACAAGCAGTGACAAAGCACAGCAGCCCTCATCCCCAGGTACACCGAGGAGAGCTAATGCAATTGCTAGACCATCCGCACCGGTCTTTGTGGGCTGTAAGATGGCTGCTGAGAGCGAGGTACACAGATTTATAATTTATAAAGAGGTTGGCTGCAGAAGAGACTGGAGTTTGGAATGGCAGGAAACAACTGTATGACTAAATTGACCTCAAAAGAACAGTCAAACATGAAAACGTATTAAACTCAATAGATTGTCTTCACCTGAAAACTAAACGTAATATTCTGCTGTGGGTCCATCTGCCTGAACACAAAACCACAGCTAGACAGAGAGATTTAAAGACACAGTGACTGAGATGGCCTTTATTTATTTTCTTGCCACATCAGGTTGAGTTACTGTCAGACGTTGTCATATCAGCTGGAAGTAAAGGTGTAACGTCTGATTAAAAGGTCATTTAGACCTTTAAATACACAGAATACTATTTTTGAAGGGCAAAGCTGTGTGCTTTTGAAAAACTGCAAGATAAGAAATTTTTGCATCTGTGCACCAAGTTCTAATTAAAGATATACATTTACAATTAAATATCCATTGCATTAACTACCAATTTGGGAATGAAATACTAATCCACCCTTAAACAAAAAATGAAATCTTTTAGAATTGAATAGCTGGTTCAAGTTAAATCTAAACCAATTTACGTGATGAAATCCATAGATTGCACCACTCTAAGAATGAAGGTTATTTCCAGACAAAGAGAGACCCTTCAGCCCATTTAAAGGTTCAGCACACCAACGTACAAGTTTAAGTGCAATGACCATCTACTGCCTGGCTGTATAAATCCAGCAGTCCCAGCTGGGGAATCAAACTCTCAGCAAGATTACAGCGCATTTCTGGATCTCTGTGCTGCCGGTAGGGAATCATTATCCTGAGTGACAGGAAAGACAGATCCCCCTGGAAGCCTAGGGAGGGGTGGTGAGGAGCAGAACCAGAGTTGATCAGTGTGGTTTTGCTGCAGAAGCCTTCACTGTGCCGGTGCAAATGCTGACAAACGGCAGGCTCGCTCTCAGGAGGATGCTCCAAAATCTCCAGCTGTGGCTTCTCCAAGCAGGTAATGCCATAAAGCATAGCACTCAAGAAAACTTATCTCTACACAAACCTGGGATGAAATGACCTCCACACTTTCAAACTCTCTATTCACCTCCCTACTTGCCAGCTTTCACTGCAAAAGAAGTAGCTCAAATATTTGAAATTTGAAATTTTAATTATTGCCTTGAAAAATCAGCTTCACATAGGGGACCAAGCATGCTACATTTTTGGAGGAGGAAGTAAAAAAAGGCAAGAGAAACCAACAGAAAATCTCTTCAATTAAGCAGCAATGGAAAAATGATACCTCCATATCTGTCCTGGGTGCCCCACAGGGAAATGTAAAAGCAGACCCTTGCTACATGCAACACATGAAAACAGCACACCAGCAGGTGATGGAAATTTCTCACCAAAGACTCTGTTTCAACACCTGTATTTTCACAGCAAAAGCACTCATTAAAGAATGATGCCTCCCACTGCCCCCTGGGATGCCAGGCAGTGGGCTTTGCTCATCCAAGGCCTGCCTGCCTGCCTGCTTGCCCAGCCCAGCCCCATCCCTTGGGAAGCTAAAGCCTACCACACTTGCCAGACCTCTCTCTCCTTGGCTTTCTGAGTCTCACAGCCAGCTGAAAGATATGATACAGACGAGTAAGGAAAACTGGCTGCTCCTGCTTGGGATGCTGTTACTTAGGGTGCTGCCAAAATTCACAGCTACCTAACCAAGACTCACTGTAAGTCATCTGTATTATTATTTTCTGTGAGGCTAGGGAATCACTTGAGGTGAACCACATTCAGAAATAAAATAGAATAATAAAATACATCAGAGCACTACATGATTGTGACCTAATATTTTACCAATGTTAAAAGATGTTGCATTATGTAAGAATTCTTTGATGTTTGATCCATGAGCAAAAATCCTGCTCTCACTGAAGTAAACTCACACGTTGGCTACGTGTGAAATTATTAGCCAAATGTGGCACTCCTCATTCCTCTTGAGGTGCCCTGGCTGAAACAATCCAGCTCAAAAGAATAGGAAGTACAGCTGAGATACATTCAACAAGACTTGGGCTACCTGGCAGTCTTTAGCGAGACCTACACAACCACAGAAATAGACAGCACCTTAATGAATCTCAAATTCACAGGGCAAATGAAATGTAACCAGTGGCTTTCCCAAAGCAGCAGGACTGGTGCTGGTGACATAGGGAAAACTAACCTTCCCAAGATCTGCAGAGAACCGCACATAAGCTTCTCAAGCTGGAGGGCAATCCCTTCATGAAATGCCTTCTACAAGAGGAGCAGTTTGGCCCACTAAGTTATATAGATATATATGTGTCTATGTATATCTCAATATACCTATCTGTGTATATATAGAGATAGATGATCAGACATAGAGAAATATGGTGCTCTGTGGTGGCCAAAAATGTTCAGCTGGAAATTCCTGGCCCCTGCATGAAAAGCCATTTGGATCAATCGCAGCCCAGCCCAGCAAACACTGACCGCCACTGGCCATAAACCAGTGCCTGTACATCTTCCTTACACTGTGAAAATACAGGCTATGGACCTGGTCAGTCCCACAGAACTCATGTGACCACCAGCAAGAAGGCAAACTGACCTTTCCTCCACATCACACCTTCTATTTCCAGTGCCACAAGCTAATTTATGTGGCAGTCAGTCACCTTGGAAATGACATCAGCATTGCTCATACATAAACAGTGAAGAATCTGGTGCAAATTCAAAACTCACTTTCCATCCTCAGTTTCCCTCTCTGGAAAGACCCTTCCCCAGACAAGTGCCAGACTGTCAGGCACACATGGCAGTACAGACCCAGCCTCGTTGCTGCGATGGAGTTGTGTGTCACGCTGTGGTGTGCTAAAGCCCAGCAGAGTGATGTGATCTCCGGACCTGCAGAGCACAGAATGTCTTGGGCTGCAAGGGACATTAAAGATCATCTAGTTCAACCCCCTTCCATGGGCAAGGGAACCTTCCACTACATCAGGCTGGTCAGAGCCCCATTCTACCTGGCCTTGAACACTTCCAGAGGTGAGGCATCCACCACTTCTCTGGGAAGCCTGTTCCAGTGCCTCACCACCTACAAGGCATTTCTTCCTAATATCTAATCTAAACCTACCTTCTTTCAGTTTAAAGCAATTCTTCCTTTTCCTATCACTACATGCCCCTGTAAAAAGTCCTTTTCCAGCTCTCTTGTAGGCCCCCTCTATGTACTGGAAGGATCCAGTCTCCTGAACCTCAGAATACCAGCATCTCCTGACCCACAGGAAGGTGGGTGGAAGTTGCCATCTGTCCTGCACCATGCTGCTCTGCCACTGGTGAATGCAGTCTGGACAGCATCTCCACTCCCTACTTGCCTAAATACTAAGCCACCCCAAGAGGAAAGCAGCCTTTCAAAGTATCTGCAGCCCACTTTGTTCCACTCATAAATATACATTACCTACAGCAATGACTTTGGGGAAAACCTCCTGCTGCTCAGATTCAGCTCACACAGTCTCCTTGAATGTTTTTCTTCAGGCAAGGAGGCTTGGGGGCAAGAAACCAGTGTGTGAACTGCATCTCGTGGAAATGCAGAAGGAAAAGGCAGAACCCAGCACGTGGCACGTTTCTGCCAGCTGCTCCGCTGCCTGTCCTGGAGGTGTGCCAGGAGACCCACCGCAGTGACCTGACACCGAGGGGGCCAGTTGCGGCTGCAGGAGGATGAGTGGATGAGGCACTCGTCTTGGCTCTGGCACATGTGCACACCAGCTGGCACAGGAGAGCTCCACACAGGAACAGCCCTCACCTCGAACTCCTGGCATCCTCCCCCCAAGCCGCAGGCCCATGGGAGGGATGTGCTACCCCAGCTCTGGACGAGGTGTGAAACAGTCCGCGAAGCTGCCGCTCCCCACAGCTGCCAAAATCCCTGGCTGCCCACCAACACTGCGCTCCTGCTCTCTGTACGTGTTATCAGGCAGTAACAGATGTCCTCTAATAACAAGCTTATTATTGGACTTAGCAGATAAAAAGGGACACATACACTGGGTCAGAAGCTTGGTGGTGAGTTGTATTCCACAGCCCACCTTAAAATATCTCTCCCCATACCTGAGCTACAGGCCTGTCTCCCTTCATGCCAAGGATGAGATTTAATATTTATTTTAAAACTCAGCTTTATTCGCTCCAAGAGGAAACGCATCTGCGTGCTGGCAGTTATTTTTCCACTTGTGGTGCATATCTCTCAGGCTGTATTTGAGACAAACCAGATTTAGAACATACCAGATTAGGAAACTCATTTGACTTTCTCTGCCGCCAGCTCCACTGAGTGAAAAGTAAACCTTTGCCATGGGACATTGCAAATAGAAATTTAAAAAATGTACTCCTAAGTCAGGGTCATGGTTTGAAAACCTGGCTCCTCTGGAATAGCTCGCTCAGAGGTAACCTCACGAAATTTCAGTGGAGTCGGCTGGGGAGTAAAGGATTTGTGCCAATGGCCACAGAGACTTGCCACTGTATGGCCGGATGCTGCCACTTGGACTCAGCAGCAGGCTGTAGCTCCCCAGCCAAATCAATAGGATTAGTCAGAGAAGTAATGTGTTTCTCCACAGGAGAAAGAAGGAGCAAAGGTGTGCCTCATTTACATTCACTACACACCATAGTTTATTTTATATATTAATTTTTTTTCACTTTATAGATGAGATTAAATTTTGGAGAATGGGTTTTTGATCTGAAAAAATGCATAATGCCATTGGGGAAAACAGATGGCAAACACAGAATCAGAAATCATAAGGAATCCAGACTAATGCTGTCAAAGAAAAACAGCTCAGTCCCAGGAAATGTTAGTAATGGAGTGAGCCCCTCTCCATGCCAGCAAGCATCTAAAGCTACGAGCAATCTTTCAGCAGAGCAGCTCTCATGCTCTGCTCCACCATCCTTAACATCCCCAGGAGACAGCTCCAGTCACTAAGCATCCCAACAATGCATCGAGGCTGGCAGGCAGAAGCGTCGCCCCAGGATGCAGGCAGAGCCCTAGAAAGGAGCACACCTCCTCTCCCCCTTCCCTCCCAGGCTTGGAGTAACTGGCAGTGGTCGCCTTCCAGCACACTCCCTCCCTTGTGCCGGTGCAGCTCTTTTGGCCAGCAAGCCGAGGGACGGAGCCAAGTCTCCACCTCTGCCGTCCCGCTCGCTCCCATGGGAGGCAGTCGCCTTGGCCGCCGGCTTCCCCGTGCCTGGCATCCTGCACGCGGGGCTGGCAGCGGCGGGCAAGCCGGGGTCGGGAACTCCTCCTGCCGTCTGCTACCCTGCAGCTGAGTTCCAGTTGGCCACGCTCCGGCCTCAGGCAGGGAATCCTAATGGCTTTCTGGCAAAGGCAGCGGGGAAGATATCAGAGGTTTGGCTTTTCAGTTTAGGGGTCTCCCACATCTCACTTGCAAAGGGATTCACATTTTTTCCCCCATTTCTATATCCCTCTCGAGCAGTTCATGCAGTTCCTTCAGTTTTTTCAGCTATCCCTGTACTTGAGGGTGGACCTGCTAAGTCTGCTAGAATGCTTACTTGGCTTATACGACTATTTTGCCTTTCTTAATTTATTATTTGCATTCTAACAGCATAGGAAGGCCTCAGGCAGAATGAGGGATTGTTTCTGTTGGTTCTGCCTGCCTGGCCTCTCAACTAGTAGGTCTGGCCTGTCTCCTGCTTTTTCAGGAATGGGAAAGGGCTCATACAAGCTTTAATAGTGTTACTTCAGAGCCCAAACTGATGCTAACCAGGTCAAAAAAGCTGTCACTCAGTGCTCCCATACTGACTGTGAAAATTAGTATCAAATAGTCAAATGTTTTATTAGCATAAAACAGAAACCTCTGTTACCGGGAAAAGTTTTATAGAGAAATTCTTGGGTAGAGGTTTGTTACCACTGTGCAACATAAAAACCAAGACCTTACAATGTAAAAGATAGTAAAAATGAAATACCACACCAGGGCTCAGCTTCTGCTTTTGCCTAGGACCTGCCTGGTTACTTCTGCTGACTTCTCTGTCAGACATTATCAACTAGAAGTGGGGCTGCCTCTTGCAATGGATGTACCACGTGCATACACCTCCCCCTCTCACACACACACTGCCATTCACCTTCTCCCTAATCAAATCTCTGTGAAGACCATCCATCAGTCCCTATCATTTATCCTTCACACACACACACCAGCTCACAAAACAGAATTATTCTTGTTAACATTCATTCCATTAATGAGAAATCCCTGCTGGTTCACCATCCAGTGGTACAAGTCTTTGCACTCACAGGCTGACATCTCTATCATCCTCCAAACTGCTGCCCTGGGGTACGGTAATCTCTTACAGACTGGTCTCCAAGCAGAGGGGAGGCATGTTTCTTAGTACTAAACCTAAATTTAAATCTCTTTCCCCTAGAGCTGCTGGGGCTTCAGTATCTTTTTCTCCTGCATGGAACCTAAAATTGGCTATGATGCCTCATTGGTTAGCTAACTGCTTCTGTCCTTTGGGATTTTTCATATGCTGTTGATAAAAGAGCCAGTGAAAAATATATCCATTAAATGTTTGGTCTCTGCTTGCTTGTTTCTTTTTCTGCAAAGCTTGCAAAAAAAAAAAAAAAGGTCTGGGGGGGGGAAATACAGAAATACATTCACTCAAATGCAGCACTTGGAATATGGGCTGAAGGAGTATAATCAGCCAATGCCTAAGACTCATCACAGGTGCCAGCTTGGCTCTCTTGCAGCCAAACATCAAGGTGAGCACCATGTATTTTCTGATTGGATGCAGGAAGAGGAGTAGCAACACAAACTCTTATACAGCAAGTCACTACAATTCCTGACTGGTAAGGAAAACGTTAAAAGATTGTAAATGGTTCTGAATTCCATTCATTCTCAGATGTGTGTTCTGAAATTTTCAAGGATGACAATTAAGACACATCTCAGTAATTATTTTCATGACACTGTCACCTCCACTGGACTTTGACCTCCAATTTACTTTACATCAGCTTCCAAGCAATCAGCCAACCACACTACCACTTCCCAGAGCTCAGATGAACTGGTGATTTAGAGAGAGCAGGTTTTATATCATTACTAAAATAGTGTCATTGAGTCTTCTCCCACCCCCTCCCACATGAGTCATACCCACAACCCTTCCAAATATATTTTTCTCCTCTTTTGTTTACTCTAAACCCAAAATCCTTTATTTGACTGATACTACTCACTTTGGAGATCACATATTTACCAATGTGTACTCCTTGCCTCTCTTTTCCATTTATGACCTCTTTAATTGCCTCACAGTAATCATGCTCTGCCCTCCTTGTACCTTCTACACAGACACTCAGGGTTCTTCAGCTCTGTTCCAAGCCTGTAACTGCCAAGGTTGCTGCATCCACACTGCATCCCCACCTCGCAGTTACGATGTACAGAAGGACAGATGTTATTGAACTGCAGTTCTTTTGGGGTATTTCTTTCGCGACAGTGGAGCAAATTCTTTGAGTTAACACGGTGTAGACTGATGTTCTGTCAGCATGCTCCAGCTTTCCTAGGACACACGGTACACACCACCAAAGAAACCTCTAAGACCAAGAACTCCTCATGCAACAAATCATCATTTTCAGCCTTTCATTTGCAAGCTTCCCCTCTCCCTTTCACATTTTTTAGCTTTCCTGTATGTACTCCTTTATCATTTCCTTAGCCCTTGAACAACTTGTTTGGATCATGCCCAGAACAAATGCTCATCCCAATATCCAAATTCTCTCCATAAATTCCAGTCAATTTAAAAAAATTAATTAAAGAAACCGGTTTACCCTAACAACAAGGGCACGTGAAAAACCCTGCTCACCCTCACCAAGGTCCCTTTCATCTGTATGAAGTCTTGGCCTTCCCCTGTACAAGTGCTAGGAAGATGACTACTGGTGAGCTCTTCAACTGCCTCACCTGAATTACTAATGGTAAACCAGCTCACAGCAGCAGATCTATTCCGTGCTCTTCTCACCAGGGGAGATCTCACTGCCATCTTCAGCCCTACCACTGTACCCTTCAGTGCTCAGTCAGTCTGTCCCATGGTCACTGAGTCACCCCTATGGAGGACCAGGCACCCCTTCACTGAGGCTTCACACATTATAAACCACCCTCAGTCACTTTTGTGTCCTCCTCTGTTTGAGCACTCTGCAGCTCTTCTTTCCTCCTCTTCTGTCCTCATCTTAAGTGATATGCATCCTGAATTCTCTTGGATTCCCCACTGCTTTCCAGTATTTATTAAGTTCCTCCTTCCACCTCAAATTTTATTACTGCTTCTCAACTTCCTAAACCACTGACTAACCTCTCTCATCTCTGTACAAATAACTCCTAGTCAAATGAAGTCTGATACCAGCTAGTGGGGATCCTATATAAAAGTACAACAGACACCATGACCACAGCAGCGTGGAACAGAAAGGAATACTCTCCTGAGACAGGAGAGGTGCAAAGTTTTCATATGGCAAACACTTCCGATACTGAGATAAAGGAAAATACCAAGTAAAGCAGGGGAAAGAATAAGACCCTAAGGTGAGTAAGGGGAAGGTGCTTGATGAGTATGCTGCCTGACAAGAACAGAGTATCCAGCATGACCCAGGCTGCTTTTATTCCTTTTAGGTTCTCATAACTCACTTGGCACCAGTGTCTGGTTAAATAAGAAGGAACGGAGAAACTCTGGAAAAACTGCAAAAAAATTAAACAGGCTTCGTGCATACCTGGCTATGTATTTTTATAGTGTTAATTAAGAGGATGCCTAGGAGTTCCAGGGAGGAGAAAATATTTCCCATAATGTCTGAGAGTAGAAGTTAACAAGCCTGCTGGGATCTTTTTAGCCCCTGCAGAGCTAAGGCTTCAACATTATTAAATGGCTGTTGCATCTAAAGTATGGTGCAACATAACACACAACAGAAAGCCCAGGATGCTGAAATGGGGGATGACTTCAGATTACACCACAGAGTAATTCAATTTCAGGACAGGTGTTTGCATGTGACTGAACAAGATGTGACTGCGGAAAACAATAAAGGTACCCAAAAGAAGAGAAAAGACAGACAGAGCAGTATGGGCTCCCAAAAAGCAAAAGAAGTGTCAAATGAAACTGCATGCTTCAAGACATTGTGGTTCAGTAAGATCATTCAAGTAGATGAGCTATCAAAAATACAGACACTACAGAAGCAGAGAAGCACTTTCTCTGGATGGTGGTACTCCTCAGAAGACATGGTGTCTGCTGCCAATTTTTAAGCATGTAGTCGGTGACTTGTTAGCAACCGGGAATTGTTAGCAACCGAGGCCAAGTCCTAGGGACTTTTTTACAGCGACACGAGTTACTTTCTTACTGCGCCTAACTCACTTGGGTACATCCAAAAAACTAATCTTAAAGCCTTTCCCTTTGCAATCGACAGCCATTTCCCACTGCAAACAGCAATCAAAAGGACTATACTATATTTGATGAGTCTTTAAAGTGTATATTCTAGGTTTGCCTGCTTAGAATTACTTCACCAAGCCTAACCCTTAAAATATATGCATGTTAAGAGCTAGAAGACTACTAGTTTTCCTTTTAACAATATAAATTTTTAGGATATCTGGAAAGGACCTGTTCTCAGTCATTGCCACGTATCAAATGCATGACAACATACAGAAATTAATATCAACCTTTTGTTTAACTCTCCAGAACACATTTATTTTAAAACCAAAAGCACAGCACCAGGATGTTGGTTTCTGACCAAAAAAACGTTTCTGACCCTTTGCTTTCCTCAGTACAAAGGGATTGTTTTCTGACATCCTAATTCATTCTCCAAGTAAGCAATGTCTTCCCTAACTTCAGTAAAAGTGTTAAGTGTGCACTTATTAAATATAATTGCATGGAAAGTGGACCCAAAACCCAAAAATATGAATATACATGAACAGGCAGACAAATATTGAGACTGTTCCTTACTGTTAACCACTCCTAAATATCGGTGTATAAAACAACGTTCACATATCTACCAGCTTAAATGAATCGCCCTATATGAATGAGGCATGATGTGTATAGTCCACATTTTGTAGAAACACCGAATTGGAAAGATTTTCCAAACATCCTGTAGTTGCCATAGGACTCCAAGTCATGATGGTTCTATGCACTGCTAACTGAAATACCTAGTTCAAAGTGACCAAGATGATTTGGGGGGGAAAAAAAAGAAAGAAAGAAAAAAGATACTTATTATGCAAATTACTGCTCAAAAAAAACCTCAAATTGCCCTCATTCATCATCTTTCTCATGGCATATACAGCTTGCCCAGCCTAAACAATACACAGAGATTTCATTATGTCAGCTTAAAAAAACAGACTAACCAATCAGTCATGACACTGAAACCCAGAGTCTGGCACAGAATCCTGACACCCCAACTGCATAACCTCTACTAGTACTTTGAGAAATGTGCAAAGAACTATTCAGTGCAATCAAAATGCAGAACCCCCATAACCAGTTAATCTCTCTTACCATACGGACAATTTCACTGGCAAACAATCATAGTTCAATGATTTAAAACAAGGAATTTCCAATGCAAGTAGAAACCAGTGTTTGTATCAAAGAGACTGCTAAGTACTTGACTGGTCTACAATTTTGCAGAATTCCTTGACATTCTGTTCAGTTCAGTACCAAATCCCACCATTAAGAGATTTCCTTAGGCAGGAGAGACTTAATTTTTGCCCCCTTTAACAAACTATACCATATCAAGCAGCAATTTATATTCTAAATTGAATGCTAATGTCATGGGCTTTGGGCACTTCCTCAGCTTTGCAAGTATCACACAAGGAAAGGGAAGCAACAACATATGAAACAGTAAACCAGACAACATCCAACTCCATTTCAGAGGAAATCACTTGCACTCAGTGATGTGCCAGAACCGTAAAGAGACCAAAAGCTCAACTCCTCTGGCTCTACACATCTTCCTCCACCCCATGTCTCCCAACAACCGCAGTGCACTCCTGCCTTGCAAGATAGGATCCTAAGACAATAAGGTCAATAAGCTTCAATGAGATTTCTGAGCAGCAGACAGCAGGCACCAGTGAGAAAAAATGCTTGCACCTGCTCTGGTCTCTGCTGGAAGTGGCAGTAGGAGGCCCTGTGTTGTACCCAAGAACCTCCAGAGATCAAAAGGAAAATTCATCATTGAATATATGTTTATCCCAGACATGCAATATCCGAATGAAAGTGATAAAAAAACATTGCAAAGCACTCAACGAAGGTCAGATCTTGCTCTGCTTCTCACGTCCCCCACTCCCTGCCCACACCATTATGGCAGGATTATGCACCATGTTGGAAGCCCCAAGCAAGAGTATCACAGTCACCCAGCAAGGGCTCTCATATGGTGCTAACAACCAGTTCCAGTGCAGGCACACTCCCTGCAGGCTCAGGCCTGGGAACAGAAAAACAAGAGCACCCTTGGTGGAGCACACGGGGCATGAATGAGAAGAGGGGAAAAACAGCACTCAGGGTCAATCAGGGCTTTGCAGCCAATTCCAATGTGAATTGCACTCAGGACAGACTATGGTTCTTGCTCCAGCTGTAAATGCCCAGGAACAAGGACTGCTTTTTTGCTCATCTGCACAGTGTTTAACACATGCACATGGGGAGACTCGGCCAGATGGAGGGCTACGAGGCAGTGGCAGGCAGGAGAGACAGACTGTCATACAGCAACATTGCTGATGTTAAGTGATGAACAGCAACGCAGGCTACAAGGTGGTCTTTCTTTTTCACCTTCCAGTTAGCCAGTTGGATCGTGTTAGCCACCTGCTCCTTATCAGACTTTACAGTTCCCCCTCACACTACTCAATTCCATCATGCCGTCACTTAACTCGTGCATGTAATTTAAAGCTAGATAGACGGCAGGGAAATTGCTTCCTCTGAGGCCCCTACTAATTGACCCCTATCCACAGAGCTCAGCAGTCTTCCCTTAACGCGCTCACACACGCTACCGCTACACGAAGTGCAAGTTCGGAGGTTGCCAGCGCAGCCTCTCTCCCCCGTGGCAATGCCATATGGTGTTAAGATTTTCAGGATCAGACGCCGTTCCTGCTGAAATCAATCATCACAACCTATCCCCGGAGAAGGCCATCTCAAACTCCCACTGGCTTGAAATGCAACTCAGCGAGGTGCCTTGGATTTGGAGGCTGGTATCGACTATATCGAGGTGGTATGCAAACATTCACTTGAATAGCGCACGTATCAATTAGCTGGGCTATTACAAAGAAAGCAAGTGGTACCAGCTATGATGACAGCATGCCTAAACAGATGATAGTTCACAATTGGGCAGGGCCCTTCAGCCCCTCCAATGCAAGTCAGCCCCTCCGCCTGAATTTGTTGCCATGCTAATGAAAATGAGGAGTGGGGTAAATGAGATTCATATGCTGAATGGAAGAGGTTCACTTCAAAGAGAGGGGGATGTAAACTATCGTCAGGCTTCTAATCTTCATAACCTGCAGCAGAAGTTATAGACACGTATACCAATCAGAGGAAAATAAGTAGTCTCTATGGGTAAATAAAGATTATGTCTCTTTAAACCGACTGTAAATCTGAATGAACACAGAATATACATACACAAGTAGGCAGCGTGCAACGTGACGTCAATCTTATTTTTATAGATTTATTATTGCCGTACATAAAATTTCCTAGTAATAATAACATTCTATGAAAAATACTAGAGCATTGGGACACTTTTAATGTGAAAATAGTACAAGAAAAGTAGGAAAAAATAATTCAAGTGTTTTAAAAAAAATGCTGGGTGAGAAGCATTCCATTAAAAATGTGAGGGTCAGGGACTAGAAAGCATTCACGTGAATCTGTCTTCGACTCCATGTACTAACGTTTTTTATCCTATGCCTTCATTGCACCAGTAGAAAAGACTTAAAGGAAAAAGAGAGAAATGGTTTTTGTGGGATCAGCCAGTTTACTGTTTATTGGTATTATTCTCATTTTTCATTTATTCTGTTTTTAAACATAGTTCCACCCCTTGCCTTAAATCACCCCTGCAACTTGCAGCCACTGTCGAGCACAATTCATAAATCTTACAAGTGTGTAGTAGAATTTGAGCCCCTCAATCCTTGATGCATTTCCATGGGACTGTGCCTACCAAGGTGCCAGGGGATCCCCCATGCAGAGTGGGGGACTCCCCTGGAGCACAGGCCAAATGAGTCACTCCAGCGGCTCACTCCACAGAGAGGCTGCCCTTGCCTGCCCCTCGACACCAACACTGCTACTGCAGTGCCCTCATGTAGGCCCTGTCACTCTCTGACACCCTTACAGCTGGTGGCCATATGGCCAGAGCACTGCTGCTGCGCTTGTGCTGTAGGCAGCCCTACTGTCACTCTTTATTAGGTAATTTATTTTTTTAAAAAAAGAAGAAGAAAGAAGACATAAGGAAAACAACCACAGAAGAAAGTTAGTCTTCCTCTCCTACTGACAAACCACATTTCTGTAATGAAATCAGTCACATCCTGTGACAAAACTTTGTGATGGGCCACGACCTGCAGAGAAGCGATGCCTTACTGACCTCTCCACAGCTGGAAAGAGAAACCTGTTTCCTTCGAGTCACAGTACAGCAGCAGAAGAGCTTTTGTGTTTACGTTTCTGACAGAGCACAAACAGGAGAGAGTGAGTGGGGGAGAGAGAGAGAGAATGAAGAAAAGAAGTGAAGGCAGGTGGTTATGAGAGCACACAAGTGGCTAATTAAACCACAGGTTTTACTAGTCACAGTGGTTAAACAATTTTAACAGGCGGCATTCTCATAACACGCCTGAAAAGTTTTTACGCTGTCGAACACCTTTGTCAGGAGCGAGGAAGTTCTGGAAATGTGCTCAGAGATGCACACAAACCCATAGGAAGATCTGATAACGTTCAAATTTGTTCCAGAGATAGCTCACTTTCTGCACAAATCGATAAGCCATCAGAACCTATCATTTATCACAAACATTAAATCCCAGCAGCATCCTAGTTTGCAAGCCTAATGAGGGAACCTGGCACACAAAGGCACCCCCAGTGCTGGGTGGTGTGGGGAGGATTCTCCATGCCTCTGGCTCAGAGAAATCTCTTTTAGGCTGTATTCAGCATTATAATCCATCATTAACAGACTGGGGCATTGGGTATCTTTGTTGCAAACTTGCTGCAAAAGCAACAAAGGCATGCTATTGAGGAAAACAAGAGTTGGAAACCCAATCTAGTTTCTGTCCCCTGGGAAGTCCATCCTGGTTTTTGCATTAGCGATGCTGGGTCACCATACATTCACAAAAAAGAGCTAAAAGGAGGGAGAGCTATGAATCAAACTTTCAGCAAGGACAGTTCACTCTTGCAAAAACGGATTAATTAGTTGTTTTGATGAAGCTGGTTAGGAAAGAGTTAATGGTATCAGCCAAATGTCAGTTAAAACCCCAAATGCTGCTTTTGTCCCATGGCAGTGTCAATATGAACACCATTATCTCCATTTATTTAACACAGAATAAATTAATTGGCTCTTAGTGTTGCTTTTTCCCCAGAATCCCTCATCCCACCTCTTCCTGGAAAGAACTCCTGGAAGCAACGAGCAAGGGAATAAACCGCTCTGCAGACATGCACGAGCATACACACACACACACACAGAGACAGAAGTTGCAATTTCTCACTGAGTTTCTGATTTCTGTGACTACAAATCTTGATGTCACCCGGCATACACTACTCCTCTGTACTAAATCCATCATCCTCGACACCTTCAAATGCACCCGATATGTGCATCTAACCAGCAACACTATAATTTTAATAATGACAAGGGATTAAGTGTGATTACTAGTCTTTTCTCTCACTTGTTTCCTCCCCCTAACGGTACCATCCAATTGCCGTTTTCCTCACGGATGTGTATTCTGGTTCCCATTGTCTGTCGTACCCAATACGTTAACCGAAATATCTGCGACATGGGATCTGCCTGTCTCTCCTATGTCTAGTAAACCTGAAAACCTGTTGTTACAGCTTTGGGGAGCACAATACATTGTCAGTTCCGAGGACACATCGTAAAAATAACCGTACATACAGTTCACTCCGAAATCAGTTCAGTCATACCTGTGCTATTCTTCCATTGTGTTTAATACACCACGAACAGGTTATTTCGTAAAAGACATTGCCAAAGAAATCACTTGGGCACGTTTCACCGACTACCAGGCTCTATGGCCAGTTGCCTGTCTAGGACAAACTGCTACCAGTCAATCTGGAGATGAACTCGCCATCGCTTTCCCCTGAACTTCTGACAGCGAGAGGCGGGCGTTCTGCTAAAACTTTCCCTTTCCCACCTCCCCGTCCCTACAAACCTCCCCGAATCGTCATTATTGCCGTTAATTAAAAAAAAAAAAAAAAAGAGAGAGAGAGAAAAGAAAAAAAAATAATAAAAAGAAACCAGAGAGAGCCAGCAGTCTTATGGAAACAGCACGGCAGGTAAACCAGGTTAGCATCGTCCCGTAACGGCCACGAGCTGGCGGGGCGGGGGCCGGCGCCCCCCGACCGTCCCTCCTCGGCCCGGGGCCGGAGGCCAGGGCCCGGCTCCGCGGGGCGCCGCGGGGGGCGGCGTTTCTCTTCCCTGCGGGGCGGAGAAGGGCGGGCGGCGGGGCCGCGCCGCGGGGAGCCGCACCCGCGGCGGGAGCTCCCTCAGAGCCTGAAGGAGGCCTCGGAGAAGGGATGCTGCATCTTGAAGCTAGACAAGAAGCACTGGAGGGGCGGGGGCAGGGGGTTGAGGAGGGACGGCGGGAGGCTGGGGAAAAAGAAATCATCTCCTCTGACCTCTAGCGAAGTGCCCGGTTTTTTCTTAAGCTCTTCACATTTCCTAAATTTGCAGATCTGGTGTCCCGTTTTGCGGTTCCTGCAACTGCTGCAGACTCCACAGTTGATGAGCCGCTTGCAGGGCACGCACACCCCGCAGCGTTTCCGCTTCTTCTTGGCGGGGTTGCCCGCCCCGGCCCCGGCCCCGCCGCCGGTGCCGCCGGCCCCCCCTCCGCCTCCGCCGCCACCGCCTCCACCGCCCCCCGCGCCGGCGGCGGCTCCCAGGGCGGAGGCGGGTGAGGCCGAGGCGTGGCTCTGCGGGCAGTCCGCCAGGTTGGCGATCTGGAAGGCGCTGTCTGTGACGGCGGCCGAGGCCGCGGCGGGGGAGTGCAGGGCCGTCATGACGATGACCCCGGGGGGCAGGGACAGGCCGCCCAGCGCCGGGATGGCCGAGAACGTGCCGACGCGGTCGGGGAGGTTCATGATCTCGGCTTCGGTGGCGCCGCACTTGAGCTTGTTCATGCACTCGCCGGCCAGCGGCCGGCAGTGCTCGGGGGCGAGCGTGGAGAGGAAGTTGCCGTTGGCCATGGGCAGGGCGGGCTGCTCGGCCGGCGGGCAGCCGGGCTTGCCCAGCCGCTGCGAGTCGCTCCGGTGGTGCATGCCGCCCCTGCCGGCGTGCAGCGAGGAGGCGGCGGCGGCGGCCGCGGAGGCGGCGGCGGAGGAGGAGGAGGAGGAGGGTTTCCTCGCGCCGCCCGCCGCGCCGCCGCCGCCGCCGCTGCCCCAGAGCATGGCGGTGGCGGCGGCGGCCGTGGCGGTGTCGCAGTTCCAGGGGGACATGCCGATGCGGGCGGCGGCGGCGGCGGCGGCACTGGGGAAGATGGGGGTGGTGATGCGGGCGATCTTGGCCGCCTGGGGGAAGGCGCCGCCGTTGGTCTTGTAGAAGGTGGCGAAGGAGCGGTACCTCTCCATCTCCGAGTTGTAATCCACAAGGCTGTTGAGGGCCCCCTCGGGCAGGTGGCTGTCCTTGGGCAGCCCTGGCGCCTCGGGGTTGGGGCCGCTCTCCACGCACACGTTGGTGTTCATGGTGGCCGGGTCGGGGGGGGACGGGACAGGGGGATGGGGGTCGGGGGGAGAGGGACAGGGACGGGGGGGGTCGCTTAATCCTCCTCCTCCTCCGGGCGCATCCCCGCGGTCGGTGCCTGGCCGGGCAGCCGTTCCTCCGGCATCCTCACGGGAGCTGCCGCAGCTGAAATACAAAAAGTCATTTCCGAGGGGGTGCGCGCGCGCGGGGGGCGCTCACGGCCGCCCACGGCCACCCCGGGGTGGGGGGGGGGGCACGACACGGGTGGGGGACACACGCCGCCGTACCCGCGGGCAGAGGGCTTGAAGGGGCGGCCCGGGCAGAGTAAGCCCGGTCCCGGGACAAGGTGGGGGCGGGGGGACACGACACGGGGACCGCGTGCTGCCCACCTACCAGCACCGGGAAAAATGAAAAGGCACGGAAAAAGGGAGGGGGGGAAATAAATAAAAGGAATTATGGAAAAAAAAAAATGAAAAAAGAGGGGGGGGGGGGAGGGAGCCGCCAGCTGCCACGGTGTCCTTCTGCGCCCGGCGGTCATTAGCTGCCTGCCGGCACAGCTGGCTCCGCCGGGCGCTGGTTGCGGCGGCACCGGCCCCCCCGACGCTCCCCGCCGCCTCCGGGCACGGGGGGGCTGCCTGCGGGCCGCGGGGGGGACGGGACTAGGTTAAAAAAAAAAAAAATACTTAAGTAATTTCACAGCCTGTGATCCCGGCGCCTGCAGCTGTACTAACGACAGAGTATTTATCCCAGCCTCTCGGGGAGGATTCCCCGCCACCGCCGCCGGGGGCTGCACAGGGAGGGCTAGGGACACACACACACACCCCGAGACGGGCAGAGCCCCTCTGCGGGGCAGGGGGCTTCATGGAGAGACAGCCTGGGAACGCTCGGGAGGGCACGTCGCTGTACCTGCTTGAACTAGCCCTCAGCGGGGAAAGATGGCTCTCTGCTTCAGGGCTAGGAAAGTTTAGGAGGGGGCTAAGGACACGGCGTCCGTTTTATTTCCCACCGCCCCCTTCTTCCCCCGGGAGGTGAAGGGGGGTATTTTAGTTTATGGCAATGAGGAAGGTATATTATGGCAGCCTGCGCGAACTAAAGCAAAACATAAGCATAACTTAAAAAGCCCTCAGTTTATGAACACTGCCTCTTTGTTTTCCTGATGCTCTACCTGAATAGTTCAGATATTTCCAGCATCTTTTCTGATGTAGTGCTATCGATCAGAAACGCTCACTCGGGAGGCAGTCGTGGGGCTACGTCTAGTTTCCAGACTCCGGTATGTTTAGTTCAAAATGGTTATCAATTACGGTAATTACGATCATAATTAGATTAATGAACCGTTTGCAGCCCAACCTACCGAGTGCAAAAACTTCGTCTTCTCCCAACGTCGTGCACTAAAAAGCGGGCTTTATGTAAACAAATCCAGATGAAGGGAGCGTAAATCTACAGAAGGAACCTCACCCCCGGCTGCACTGGGGACCGGCGGGCGTCTTTCCGTCGGGGGATAAAAAAAAAAAAAAAAAGACCCCGAGCCCGCAGGAGCCACCTCTGTGTTTCCACGTCAGGGAAAAACCCAGACTCTCGCTGCCTTCAGAGGTCTAGTGGCAATACAAAGGCTGCCCCGGAAAGCTCTAGGCTAAGCATCGTCTCGTGGAGGGATGCGAAGGATTTGCATACAGCAAAAGAAAAAAAAAAAACCTCTCCCGTTTCCAGAAAGGAAAACGTAGCTGCATATCCTCGATAACAACTACTCAATAAAACTAGTTTTGCCAGCCATGTGTATGAAAGCCCCGCATCTGGTAAGGAATAAAACGTTAGCGTTCAGCCTTTTATGCCAGAAGTCATACGCATTTTCTTGCCCTATTCCCCCCAGCATTAAAGTGGTTTCTCTCCACAAGAGCTTCCCTCGCTGGCTACCTTTTCTCTCCCCGCGATCCCCTCTCAGGGTTTATTGCCACCAGCAGCGAGAAAATGATGGTGCCCACCAACCGGGTCATTATTGTTTAATCGATGCATCTCCGGAGCATGAAAAGGGTACCCGAGACGCAGTTATTGATTTCCCTCCCCCACTAACTATCGCTCTCTTTTCTGCGAATGAAATAAATAAATAGAAATTGCTAGCCGGGCTTTGCGATTCTGTCCCTGCTTAAGCTAAATGTGACTGTACATGTTCAATGTTGCATATCTGCTCTGCCAAAGACAGAGAGATCAAAGGTCATATTTAACATTCAGGAGGAGGGGCGGGTGCAGATTAATTAATAAATTAATACAGCGATGCCTTTTATTGCCCAAGTCTAGCATTAATCTACTTTTACGATCCCAGAGAACAAGAACAACAGGAAAAAAAGAGCCCCCGACAAACCCACAAAATTTGAAAAACACAAAAAACGAACCCTCTAAAAAGAAACAAACAAACCTAAAAACCAAAACCACAAAAAAAACCAAAACAAAAATAACAACCCACGAAGAATAAGGGGGAAAAGGGGGGGGGGGAAGCAAACCAGTCACTTACCAGGCTCTTTATTTGGGGGGGCTTGAGCGTGCAGACGCTACCAGCCTGTCTGCCTTTAATTAGTTGCACATCAGTCCCTAACACAAAGAAGAAGAAGAAGAAGAAGAAAAATATCCAGATGTGCCTTGGCAGCTCCTCAATTACAACTTTGATACTTGTAAACAAACTGCAAGGGGCGGTGGGGAAGGTGGGGGGGGTGACAGGGGGGATAAATTAAGCCGCCGATCCACTAAACAAATACCTGTAAGTGGCTTTTTTCCCCCCTCTCCCTCTCTCGCCCGTTGCAGAGAAAGGAGGAGGAGGGGGGGAGCAGGGGAGGCGGCGGGGGGCGAGGAAGGAGCAGGCACAGAGGGAGGGCGGGAGGGAGTGTGCGTGTGTGTGTCTATGTGTGTGTGTGCGTGTGCGCGGTGGTCTCCTCTGCCGGCGCGCTGCTCGCCGCCCGTCTCCCGGCGCCCGCCCTCGCACACAGCGCCGGGAGTGCGTGTGCGTGTGGCGGTGCGGGGGAGGGGAGGGGAGGGCGGGGGCGGGAGGCGATCGCCGCCGAGGTGAGGGAGCGCGGCGGGAGGACGCAGGGATGCGGACACCCGCTGCCGCCGCCGCCGCCGAGCGGCGCGCACGGGCCGTGGCGCAGCGCGGGGGGCCGCCCCCGCCGCCGCCCCCGCCGCCCCCTCCGCCCCCTTCGCCCCCCTCCCGCGGCGGGGGCGCTGCGGCCGCGGCCGCCCGGTGCGGGGCTGCCGGCGGGGCGGGGCCGCCGAGCGCCGCAGAGGGGAGGGGAGGGGAGCGAAGGGGAGGGGGCGGCGGTGGGCAGGGCGCGCCCCGCCGCGCTGCGTCCTGTCACCCTCCCCGCGGGCGGGCGGGGAACTGCCGGCAAAGTTTGTGCCCCGGGAAGTTTGCGGAGGGGAGCTGGGGGCCCACCCCGTCCTGGCCCGCCCCTGCAGGCTGGAGCGGGAGGCCGATGCCCCGGTCAGCGTGGCATTTTTCACGAGCGTTTGCGCGTCTCTAACGACTACCACCCCCACGCATGCTATTAGCTTTTTATTTCAGACGCGTGAGGTGCTGCAGATTTCAGGCATATTTAGGCGAATTGGAGCCAGCCGAACCGTAGATGTTACACAAGTGTCTCGGCACTCGTTGGAAGCGCTTTCCCCACATTTGCCCTTTGCTTGTGCCAGAGCCCAGGAGGTGCATGGCCCCTGTCTGGGCAGGCCACGCATACCCCCGCACCTGAACTGCCAACGTTAAAACGCTTTTCTCAACAAGCAACTGACGTACAGAGATTGCATGCAAACACACAGCAGATCCTTAAAGAATTTCAGCAAACTATTAAAAAAAACCCAACCAAGCCCACTCGCCTTCCCCAGAGTTCTTGCAAGCACAAAAAGGGGCCTATATTCACCAAATAAATTATGCGTCACAAGTTCTTCATCCAGCTCCTCTTGGAGCGAGCGATGGCACTTACGGAGCCGTTGCTGCAGCCCGGTGCTGCCAGTGTGGGCACTAAGCAGTTAAGAAATGGATGTTTCTGCCAGGAAAATCATTTTAGCCATGTGTAAATTACAGAAGAAGAAGAGAAAATTGTACCGTTTCACTGGCTTTATATGTAAGTGAAGGATTTATGTGCAGACTGAAGTTTTATTTCCTTCCACGCCAATCTGAATTCAAGCTTGGGGTGCTCAGTTTTAGGGAATTACCCACAGGAAAGCGCTGCAGGAACATTTTCCCAGGAGCAGCAAGATGAGATGGATTTGAGCAGTGGGATTTGGCAAGAACCAGCAGCCTTGTGGTTAGTGCTCCAACAAGTGAGACTGACTGGTACAGGAGAGGGACAGTTATGGTTAATCAGGTAAGTTGCAGATCTGCAAGAAGGCGCGCTCCTGGCATTTACATTATGGATTGGTGCGCTTTATTTGGAACCAGTACGGTTTATCGAACTAATTAGCTGCTTCTAACCACACGATATGCATTTTGAAATACCCCCAAACATGGATTTGCATAATAAAGTGTAACCTCCCGACTAGCTAGCGTCATCCTTTATGACAGGTCTGCTGCCTTTTTCAAAGTCTTTTCGGTTTTGATACATTTTAAACCAAACTTATGGGGGGGGGGGGCCTGGGAGGGAGAATACAAATGAGGGGAAACAGTGTTTCAGTAATGTCACAAAGTGACAAAAAACAAGAGCTTTTTCTGTTGAGGTTCATTCCCTACCACTTTTCTCCCAAATTAGTTGTCAAAAGCCATACGCAATACTCCAAACACCGAGGACGTTTTTCAAACACAGACTTCTCCTGAACTCCAAACTTCCTTTAATCACAACCTGTGTCTCACTTAAGTAATCCTTTCCGAGTTAATTTATTACTCTTGAAGGAGTTACATTTTTAATAAGCTAAAAGAGGAAAAGGGGAAAACTCTGATAATCTTTTCTCATGCATAAAGAAGACCATTTCATGTATTTTTTAATTGTCATGTGAATTAAATTGCAGTGCTATATATAACCTTTCTGCTCCAGCCTGGAAACTTGTACACTTTTTTGGTGTTGGGGAAGAAGTGTGGAATCCAATTCAGATGGATTTTCTCTGAAATCTTTTTGCTTAGTAGAGTTCGGGGGGGTTTGGTTGGTTGGTTGATTGGGGGGTGTCATTGGGGTTTTTTTGTTTTGTTTGTTTGTATGTGTATGTGTTTATTTTTTGTTTTGTTTTCAGATACAAATATGTTTTATCCTACATTCTGCCCTGAGCCTGGGAGCCAAGGAGGACTGTAAGAGTGGAAAATGTACAGGTGTTTATTAGTGAGGTAGCCAACCTTCCAGCTACAACTATCTCATGACGAGTCCTCAGAAAACAACTCCAGATTGTCCTTTTCACCATAATCACTGCTTTGATGGGAAGGACAGAAAGTTAAAAATCACAGACTCTGTTTTTCGTTCAGAAACCATTCCTACTTCATTTTTAGCAGGAATGCAGGAAGAGGAGTATGTTGTAACATTGGTAACATGGGAACTGCCCTGCCTTTTAGGTTGTTCTGAAAGAAAGTTGCAAAAAAAAAAAAAAGAAACTCTTGTTCATTCTGTTACTGACTCTAGTGTGTATCTGCAAACTGGCCACTTTAAACCTACCCTGCTCCATTAAGTATTATAAGCACTAGAATTAGAAAAAGGAGTCAAAGCCAGCCCTTGGGTAATGCAGCAGTTCCTTACAGACTTCTAGCCGGATATTTTGTTTTTCCTAATGTTATTACTCTTTCTTTTTGTGTGCTGTTTTCCTAGGGCTCCCAAAGCCCACAGATACACTGTCAGGGCTAGACTCTGACTCTCTTGTTGTGTTTGGGTTTCCTTCTGCTGGGGCCAAGAGCTCTAAAATGTCCCAGACCACATGCGCTGTGACTCTGGCTTTCCTCTGGGTGGTCCATGTGGCACATGTCCTGAGCAGCCTAACCTTGGGTGTGGGTCTCTGCTACAGAAGAACTATGGATGGCAACTGGAAAAGCAGCTGCCACTGCTCCACTCACTTTTTCACTAGGAAATCTCCTGCTTTGCAAAGGAAGTGGTCGGTTTTCATTCAGGACCATGTGCCTTTACCTGCCACCAGCTCTATTTGTGCCTCACCCCTTGATGAAAATGGAAATGGTGGCTCAGCTGTTTTCCACCCTCAAGAAGGAACACATTTCTGGCACAGCCTTTTTTCTAGCACCAGTCTTGTGGGCACTCTGAATATATGGTCCTTCTCTTCTGAGACGGGGGTAAATTGAAGAACAGATGCAGAAGTTTTCTCAAAATTCCCAAACCAACTTCTTTTTTTATTTCATTGGTGGAAGAAATACATGAAAACATATGGAAATGTCTTGTACATCCACAGCAATAAAAGCACACCTGCACCCCGTTGCCTGGAATCCCTCATAACTCTTTGACATCCTTTGAGCTACAAATTATTTCACGGATTCTCTGGGACCTGGGCTTCAATCTAACCTGAAAGCTGTCTGTTTGTACTGCCATGATGCCAAATCCAGCCGCTCTGAGCTGCAGTTCATCTCTGTGACTTCCAGCAGTGCTAGGCACCCTCCTTCCTTCCTCTACAGATGGTCACCTTTCTGCTGGCACATATGTACCATTCCTCCTTCTCGTGGTTGCAGCCAGACACCTCCTGTTCACTCCCTCATACCTACCCCTGCTGCTTTCCACACATGCAGCCAGCCCATCCCAGCTCTCTGATGAAGGGGGACGCCTCGCTACTTGCCAGCTACTCTGGAGTTCTTGCATCAGTAAAGGGATAGTCCAGGCACAAACTAGTTTTTGTGTGCTGCAAGAAAAGACACCTGAGAACTGCTGAAAAGCACTGTCTGCCATAAAAATCAGGATAAACCCATCCATTAGAATGCCTCTCTTTCACTGCGCTCCTTGCTTTTGTTTGAAAGGAAATGCAGCAATTACCCCTATTACAGACACCTACAAATATTTACTTAAATTATGTAGCAGAGGGATTTTTTAAAAAAGTTATCACAGCTTAAACATTCCTATCACTTTGAATCTGGCTTGATTCCGTGTCAGGTACAGCCGCTTTCCTGATTCTTCAGGGGCAGGATTCCAGACTGCTGATCTCCAATTATACCGACTCCCAGAGGGCTCGATCCATCACTGATACAAGTCAACATTGCAGCTCTGCATTTGATAGAATGCTGCCAGATGAGAAACAGCAGTACCTAGGAAAAACAAAACCCACAGTGATCCTTATACTGTTGATGTCGGGATCCTGATAGGACAAAGAAGGGGAGTTCTGAAACCTGGGTCTAAAGAGCTGGCTACTAAAACCACCTGGGTCTGTTTAGACCACCTCAGCATCTCTCTTCTCTCTGGCTGACAGCCCACGCGTTGGTGCCACAGTTTCATTTCTTAATGTTTCTTAAAAACCGCCCTTCACTGGATTGGGGCTGGAGTGGGTTTTACCCTGTGAATGCTGTATGAATCTAAATGTCAAGCCAGAGATGTCATGCCAGCAGCTATCAAGGTGGTTTAGAATAAGCATTCCCTGGCCAGTAGACAGTAAGCATGGGCTTGTTCACCTAATCAGCTTTTGGGCTCCTCAGTGCTAAGGCTGTATTCTGTTTTTGTCAAATGGCATTGTACCAACACTCCTCTGGGGCAGCTGCTCAGAAAGTGTGTTTGTTCTTTCAGGGCTTGCATGTCCCAAAAAAACCTGTGAGAAAGGTTTGAATCATTGCAGCTAGTTCAGGATGGCTGACAGTTTTTCTTTCCTTTTGGGCCCTATTTTCAGATACTTCTCAATTTGTCAAGTTTCACCTCTTTGAACTAAAAGTTCCCTGTTTGAGAGGTATGCAGTCTCTAAAACCATTCAGCTGGTTTCCAGACTTCATTCTTAACTAACACATTTTCTGTGCTGAAATAATAACTATTTAAGAACTACTTTTCTAAGGAGCTGTAATGCCTTTGCACTTAGAAGCAAAAAGTTTAAAATTTGATCATTGTGAACATACCTCATTTGGCCAAATTGCACAAATTTCTGAGCTATAAAAAAGAAATCTTAGTTCACACACAGGAACTGTTAGAAGTGCAAGAGGGAAAAATTCTCCAAAGTGTCTCTTTTTGGCCAATCTTTGAAAAAGATTCCCTCAGTAAACACATTCCCTGTACTGGAACTGCTAAGCGATATGACAGTAGCAAAAGGCCACCATCAGCCACAGAGCATTCAAATTTAGTGATCTCTCTTATCAAATTATCAAAACATGGATGATCCCACTTCTAGAATATGGAGACAGACTTGTTGATGCTTGAGAAGTACACAGGTATCACAGAGATAACCTGTAGAAATTTTGGAATATGGAAGTGTGGAGCTGGGGAAACTCTATGAAGGAAGAAAAGGCTGATGGTGAGAAGGGACCATGGACTAAATAAGGAAACAATCCTGTGGAGAGACTAGTATGCCATCAGGTGTATGTAGCAAGCTGGTAGAGTAAGGATTGCATGGATAAACTCAAGAGAGCATCTCCTAGCTTTTGAGCCCTTCAGTCTTTGACCTTTGTGAAAATTCTGGAGGTTTCTATCCTCTGGGCTTGGCTGCCTTCTGAATTGTGGTACTCGTCTTGGAAGTGACAGGTTTTGCTTTACCTCTGTATGTAAGTTTTTGATGAGATAGTTCCATTTTCATATTTAATAAATTGGGGAGAGTAAAGACTTAATTAGAAAGCAGAGTTTTGTCAATTTAACATCATCTTCAGATGAATGACAGCCATCTTGTGCCAGATTTTCATATCACCGTGACCAAACACCTCTGGTAGATAATAGCAATGAGAAAGCAAGCTCATACCACCAAGCCATGACTTTGGCCCTGGAATGCCCAGGATAGCTACATCAAGCTACTCCATATTCTGTTAGTCTGAAAGAGCATTCAAAACTAAATTAGGAAGTACAGCAAACTTTTTTACTACCTCATAAAACAACAAAAGAAAACAATAGCAGCTGCTTCAGTTAATTTCTATAGGAAGAGAAATTTGAGTAAGATTTTTTCTCTAGAGAAAAGTCTTTTCTCTGTAGTTGTGATGTATAGCTTTGGTTACATTCTCATTGAAATAGCCAGAGATTTTGTTATCACCTCAGTTCTCACACTCTAAATATACACAAAAGACGTGTATATTTTACTATCCTGTTTTGTTAATGCTTTGCTCACCTCTTCTGTTGTCACATTTCCACTGTTAAGGCTCGTCTGGAATAAGCTTATTTTTTTTAAATACTTGATTTCACACACTACTACTATTTATGGTTAAGGCTTCATTGGGAAGAATGACAATCAATCATGACTCAAAGATGGTCTCAGTGCCAGAAGCACTTGTATCCTTCTACAGGCCATCATTCTAACTTACAATAAGCACCAGTAGGCAGTGGATGGTCATTTCCCTTACTGTTCCCTGAGGTCATCTTAATCAGCCCTTGCCTTTACTGTCAGAAGGCATAAAAATGGAACTCCACATGCTGCACAGCGTAGGACTGATGGATGACCCCAGAGGAGTACTTCTGATCCTCTGTCGATGTCCCCAGAACTTCCTTCTTTCTCTAATTTCAGAGGTATCCACAGATGAATAGGGGTGTGGAGGGCAGCTGGCTGCTCCAGTTGTCAGGTGGTTTAAAAGATACTGCAGGTAGCTGGAAGCTGACAGCACAGTGTCTGTCACTTGGATGACCACAACTAAGCACCTCCTTTGTAAGTCAGGACACTCAGCAGCAGGTATTGTCTCACAGAAAAGGTTATTGCTGTGGCTTAGATAATACCAGTTTCCATCATTTTATCACTGTTACCCCAGTTATGGGTGCTTTCAATATTCACCTACTTACAGCTGTGGACACAGAGGTTCAAGAAAGAGTATGCTGGAAAAGGGAAATGATATCCCAGATGCCAGTGCATGGTCAGAAGAATACACTACAATCCCAAGAATGGCAACAAAATGTGAGCTACTGGACTTGGGAAGAACAAGAATAAACACAGTGAAAAGCAAACAATAAAAAGCTGGTAAGAGAGGAAGAAATGTGGATAAGGTGTATTGTGAGGATTTAAAAGGAAAATCAGGGCAGAACAAAACACAGAAGGTGTCACAAGGGACATGAGCAAACTTTCTTGTTTCAACAAGATAGCTATTGTTTCTCATGCGTGTGCAGTCCTGTCCAAATGTGCCGTCACACAAATATTTTAAGTTGCTCTCTCCTGCCAGCAAGAGAGTTGTTATCATGGCAGCCGGTGCTGTGCTGCCGAGATGAGCCCCCAGAGAAAGCCCTCTCTCCTCTCACTCACGCACTGGCATGCCAGCCAATTCCCTGCACTCCTTCCTACGTGCTCAGAATGACGGTCACGTTTCAGTCAGTGCTTCAACCCTTTCTGGGTGTAACTTTAGCCCCCTTGAGCAGTGACATACCTGCTTTACACTGCATCTGCAGAACAGAAGAAACAAGGCCCTGAGCGCAGAGATCTTGTTAAAACATGCTATAGGCAGACCAAGAGA